AGTAAACAACTCTGAAAAAGTATAAAAACATGAACAAAAGAACATCAAATTCAAGGTGATCATTAATTCGTGGGAGAGCAGGTGGGATTGAAGTGCAATAGAAAGGGTTTCAGCTCTGTCAGTAATGCTTAGTCCTTTACAATGTTGGAATTTGATAAAGCTGAGAAGTAAAGTGGATGGTGAAGTAGATGAAGGGGATTAAGAGTTGTAAACTTCCAGTTACAAAATAAGTTATGGGGATGAAAGGTACAGCATGGGGAATATAGTCAATAATATTGCATTAATTCAGTGTGGTGATGTGAGTTGAGTATTTTGTAATGTATGCAAGTGTCAAATCAACGTGTTGTATACCTGAAACAATACTATGTCAGCTATACTAATTTTTTTAAAAAGCTGAAAAGTAGATGCACACAAATGTTACAGTATTTTCTATACTTTCTAGAATACCTGAAATATTTTGTTAGAGGAGATGAAATAGGCACAGCTGCAATCGTGCGATTTTGGAGAATGATTAGATATCATCATCTTAAGTCTGTAATGTTAAACAGATTGGAGTGCCTGAGAGCCTAAAATTTCTGGGGTGTCTTTGTTACGGGGGAAAGCAGATCATTCCAGCCTGCTTGCTTGCACAGTGGCATCGGCTTGTTTTGGTTAAAGTTCTAGTGACTTCTGAACTAGAGAAACCTGTTTTTCTTGACAAAGACCAGTCTGTTTGGCAATTTTGTAATAGGTAATGTTCAGAATGCCTGCCAGGGTTTTGTAATTTAGTTTCCTATTTCAATAATGTGTGGTTTTAACCATTTCTGATGCATCTCCATGAGGTTACTGTTTATAAAAAGCAGGAATTCCATTTTTATATATTCCAAAGCAAGTTCTCTCCAGATTTGGTGCCCTTTAGCCTTTCTCTGTTCTTCCTGTATATTTTGAAAATTTCTAGAATGTATGTAATTTTGCACTGGCATTTGTGAGCATACATATAATACTTGATATATTCAACATACTTTTCATAGTTGTTTTCCAACACTATTCTAAGGCCAGTATATCATTTTGTCATCTCAATAACAACAACAGAACTCATTAAAGAATAACTTACTGACAACTAGTGACTCTATAGCATCTTACTATGCTGATGGACAGTGACTGTAATGGGGTATGTGGTGGGGATTTGATAATAGGGGGAATGTAGTAACCACAAAACGTGAGCATAAGATTGTATATCAATGATACCTTAATAAAAAAAAAAGAATAACTTCCTGATAATTTGTCCAACCATGTCTGCTCCTCAGCTTGGCCAGGTCACGTGACATAGTTCTGTCTGTGACCCTGTCATTGAGTATGACTGTAAACAGAGATCCAGCAGAGGAACTGGCCTTGGTGAATCCTCAGAAAAAGTCCGAGGAATGTTTGGGCTTTTAGGCCACTTGGTTTCTTTTTTTTCCCACTACCTATTGCCGTTAGTGGCTTTTTCTGTGCACTGGCTGTAATCGACCAGTATAAATTCAGATCCAGCTCTGCCACTGGCTTAGCTTAGCCACCCAAAAAGCCTTGTTGCCCTCATTTGTAAAGGGGTGTTACTACCTGAATCACAGTTGTATTGTGACCATTAGAAATAGCGCACATAATGTGCCTGTCATAATGCTTACTAAATGGGGTGTAAAGAAACAAGTAACTCTGAATTTTGGTTCATTTTGATTTTAATCTGGATCTACCAAAATACAGAACTACTTTTTTTTCTGAAGAAAGTTAAGTAATGGAAGCCATCTTACATACTTAAGTATTTCTGGCTTTTTGTCCAAGCTTTTTGGAGACCATGAAAGAGAAAATGCTTTGATGTTATTTGGGGAGGAGGTGAAGAATAATACATGGCTTGTGTTTCCTAACGGAACACTGTCTCCTTTGAACAAGCAAACAGAAAACAAAATCCTTTTTCATGAGGTCACTTCCTTAAGCCTAAAGAGTAGAAATACACATCATAGAGGCTTAAAAGCAATTTAATAAGTAAAAGCATGTGACAAAATTAGACTTTTCTCTATACTTACAGTATACTCTATACTTACTATCTTTATACAGTAAGGGTATGGTTAAATTTTGTCTTAGTTTAACTTAGTTCACCCAGTTAAGCTACTAGAGCCATTTCACTTCATTCAAATTTGTGTAAAAAATGTTATCTTTTTTCTCTTTTTATTATGGATATTTTCAAATGTAGTGAAAAAGTTTTATCAGCCCCCATGGACCATCACTCAGTTTCAGCAATTGTCAGCATCTGTCTGTCCAGAAATACTGTGTTTTTGGTTCAAACTTTTTCTTAATAAAGAGATGTTTTTAAATTCCCTTGGGACAAAAGTGAAGTCCCTCCACCCCATCCCTTTCTTCCCCACCCAAGAAACCTGAAAATAAGGATACTTTCTGAAACTTAAACTATGAAATCGATTTGTAGTCATTGAGAGCATATGGGAGCAGCTGTCTGAAACAGAACAGAACAGACTCCCAAGCCCACAAAATCCATAAGAAGGGACCATGACACGTACAGGAGACAGTGTTGCAGCCAAGAAGAAACATGGCGGCAGTCAGGAAAGGAAAGGTTCCTACAGGCAGCCCTTGACTGAGTGCATCTTGAGCTCCCTGCTGTGAGCCTCTGGTTTGCAGGTAGCTCCCAATGGAGAGGATGTTTTCAGGAATCCTGCATAAGCTTCCCTTATTTGACTCCCGGTGGCGTCCATTTCAGCTTGCTTTCTGAGGTGGTATGCTGGATAATGTACACGTCCAGCCTGCTTGACAGTTACTTTCTCTGTGTCCTCTCACACGCTTTGTTAGCAGGGGTCGGCATCCCTGCATCTCATCAGCGCTGGGGCGCAGAGAATACGTGTCTGAGCCTGCAGAGATGAGGGCCAGCTCCCAGGCGGTGTTGACTTTACCAAGCTGGCTGTCATCCATCTCTAGATAGGCTTTTTTTTCTTGGTCTCTTTACACATCCCTCAGCTTCTACACCTGCACAGAGTGTGTATCTGGCACCCCAGCTTGTGAAAGCCACTGAATTCTCCCCATATGGCCTCTTAGCTTGGTGGGGCGTTGGTAGGCTGCCCCCTCAAGCAGTTGGGTGTTCTCTGCTTCGTGTTGCTCTCGGTGTGCAGTTCTACGTGGGTCCTGTGTGGTTCTTCTCCATCCTGTCTTGGTGATAGCAGTGCTGCCTCTGGCATTTGACAGCCACGTGGGTCAGGCAGAATCACACATCAGAACTCTTCTGCCATGTTCTCTCCCTTGGCTTTGTTGATTCTGTATGTTTTGTGACCTGTGGCACATTGTCAAAAACACCGCTCTAGGTGCACTCTCAACTGGTTCTGGTCTGATGTGCCCACAAAGGGCACTCCTGTTTAAAAACAAAAACCTGCTTTATTAAAGTATTTAACATGCCATAAAAATCACTCGTTTTAAGTATATAATCCAGTGGGTTTTGGTACATTTATGGAGTTGTACAACTATCCCCACAATCTAATTTTAGAACGTTTCCATCATCCCCAAAAGATCCTTATGCCCATTTGCAGTCACTCCCCACCCCTAGCACCAGGCAAACATTAATCTCCTTCCTGTCTCTATTGATTTGCCTTTTCTGGACACACTGTAGAATTCCATTCATAGGAACTGTCTAGATAAGGTACTTTTTAACTGGTGATTTAATGGATGGTTGGTTGCTTTCAGCTCAACAGAATTGCTTACATCAGAATATGCCTTCTCTGCTGTATTAGTTACCTGTGATTTATTGGTATGTGTGGGAGTGTGTGTATGTGTGTTTTGCACAGCACCAACCTTTTTTGTCTGCAGATTGATGTTTTGTGGAACACTTGGTTTCATGCCCATCATTGTGACATATTTTGAAAGACACAAGCACAGATCCTGCCCTCTGTGCTGTTGAACGTTACCCCCTAGTTGTTGAAGTAAACCTAACAAACATGAGAACAACTAGAAAGGAGTAAATGACAACTTGCAACCAAGTGTTGGGCCTAGAATGCTTTTATTTGAGATGTTTATCGTGTACCCTGTGCCACGCCCCACCAGATGGAATGCCTTATGCCAGCCGGCAGAGGCCAGTGGAGGCAAGGGTGTGGGGGGAGGTGCCGTGGTGGTACAGGGCAGACACTGAATCACATGGTCAGGTTTCTCCCTTCCCAACTTACTTTCAGTCCTCTGATTCCTGCAGGAGAATGTCTCATTTGGGTGTAGGTGGTATTTCCATCATTTGTTAATCTCTCCCTTTTATTTAAGAGAGCACACATTTCTAAGCCTTCTGCAAGCAAATGTATCTGACTGGAATTTTATGACTTTTGTGTCCTTGTGCTTCCGTGAGGCCAGATTTGGGGACACCTTGAAACCCAGGCCCATCTTTGTGTGCTCAGATGGAAGCCATTACCAGTGCTGAAGCAGAGGAGTGACCTGAGTTGCCTTTGGAGCTGGGAGTTGGCAATAGGGGGAAATAGAGTTAGGTGTCTGCTTTCTGAGTCTCTTGTCATGTGTGTGTGCAGAGGTCTGCCTGGGCAGGGAGCAGATGGGAGGCTAAGAAGAAAAGTCCTTCCTGACCTCATATTGCCAGCTCCAGTCTTTGAGTGCTAAGTTCCCCTTGGGCTGGTGTGCTGGGCACATATCCAGAAGGATCCTGAAGTCTGGATTTTTTGGCATTGAAAGTCATATTTCTCTATGGGATGTGTGTGTCTTTGATGGTAGAGGCAGGGACAAAATCAACATGCCTATGAAATATATTTCAGTTGGGTGGGTTGGTATCTTTGTTGTTAGATAATGTGACTCTTTACTGTGCAAGAAAGGAATCACTTAAGAAGGCCTGGTGGCAACTTTAGTAACAACTCACAGAGGACCCGTGCTGGAACTTAAAGCTCTGGTTCTTCTGGGGGCTCTGGACCACTGGGCCTCCTCCTGCAGGTCTGTGCATATTCGTTCTCTTCCGCCAGGATTGCCCTGCCAAGCTCACTGATATCTGCTCTGTGTTTCAGACTTTTGCCGAGTTTCAAAGATAGTGGGACGATGTCGGGCCTCCATGCCTAGGTGGTGGTACAATGTCACTGACAGATCCTGCCAGCAGTTTGTGTATGGAGGCTGTGAAGGGAATGACAATAATTACATGACCAAGAAGGAGTGTCTTGAGAAATGTGCAGGTGTCACAGGTAAGAGAGTGGTAGCTGGGGAATTTTGTTATTTCAAGACAGTTTATTACTTGGGTTGTGGGTTTTTGCCTTTGGTTAGTTCTTCATGGCTGAACCAGGGGATGTTTTAAAAAGCAGAAGAAATAGTCAAAGGGTTGCCCGCCCAGTGGTTTCACAGCTGTGTCCTCCCACCCTTTCCCAGAAAGGGGAGAGCAGATGCAGGCTGGAGCCGGGGGTTGGGATGACTGGGTCTTGTTCCCAACTTCCTTTCTCCAACTGCTGTGTGCAAGCCCCACCCCGACCTGGTATAGGAGGAAGTGGCCTTCCACTTCTCAAGCAGAGTCTTTCAGGTCTGCTGAGACAGGCTGCTCCCCGTTCTCTGTGGGCCTGTGGCTTATTTTTACCTCTGGGACAAATGACTGGAGCTCACCCAGCCAGCCAAGTAATGAGTCATGCTAAACAGAACATACTTCCTGGAATCCATCCTCCCACCCTCACCTGCGAGGGATTCTGTACAGTCAACATAATGTTGACTCTCAGAGCCTCACAGCTTAAATAAAAACCTAAAACCCCACAGTAGTGTGCTCTGGCTCTGAATTGAGCCATGAGGGACTTCTTGAGAGCTGACGTCCCTGGGCCTGGTCCCAACCAAGTGTTCTAGAGACCCAAGGGCTGACCAGCCAAACTGTCTGTGAAAGATTTTCATTGGCCGTCTCCCTAGCACTGTTACATGATATCTTGCATCCTTTCTTGACAGCCTGGCATTGACATGAGGACTGTAGGTTATGACTCTGTTGGAGTGCGCTGGTTCCCTCAGTGCTCACTGCACACCCCCGGCCTGCGAGCCTGTGCCCAGAGACAGACCCTGCGTCCTCGTGGAATTTTTATGTCTCCTCACTCACTGGCTGTAGTCACTTTGGCTTTGAGCTCTACATTCAGAAACTAGATAAGCTTGCTAAAGTTGTGTGTAAAGAGGGGGAAACAGCGGTGGCCTTGGCGGTGGCCTGAGGTTTAAGGTGCGGTGCCCGTGCACACAGCCAGGCAGTGACCAAGCTCCTCAGGAGCATTTTCAGTTTGTGTGTGCCTGGTGCCTAGCAGGCACTCAGCAAGTGTTTGGAGAGCTGAGGTGCCTGGGTATTGTTTTTGGATCATAGAGGCAAGTCCGTCACCTTTGGGGGGCAACTAGCAACCTTATTGATGGTGACTAAAGAAAAAGCCATTTCTTAACATTTTTCTGTGGTCATCTGATCTCATATGGGGGATAATTAAGGGGAGATACTTTTTTACTACCTTTCTTTCCTGTCCCAGTCAGGAGGTGACTGTATCAAACTTACCTGCCTGGTCTGGTTACTCCATCGTGAGAACCCAGGCAGTGGACAGTGGACGTTCACATGGGATGTCGCCCCAAGGGGCCATGGGTTGAGTTTTGCTGGGGGAAGGTAGAGAGCTGTCTCCCTAGAGGGGGTCCAGAGTGTGGCTCCAACTGCATGTCTCGAGGGGTTCGCTCATGAGTCTGAGAGCTGGCATTGCCAGAGCAACTAGTTACTGGAGTCTTGCCAGCATATTCTCTCTCAGGCAGACGGGCTGTTTGGGAAGCCAAATGAGAATGAGAATGCCAGCCAATAGATCTATAGTGAGAAGCAGAACCATCCAGGGACAGACACGTGGGGTCCTATGCCGCCTGTACCTTTAGTCTGTGTAGGCAAGCCTCTCAGCCAAATCCCCGGGAGATGCTTGGAGGAGAGGAGGAGGTTTGTGGTGTGAATTCAGTGGCATCGGGTTAGGATAGCCCTGTGCCTTTCCACATGGTCTGCTGGATTGCAAGTTCTGCTGTCCTTCCTGAACCCTGCCGGTGCTCCCTTTACATGCTTCCTTAACCAGTTAGCCTCTCACCTCATGCCCTTAGCTTTGGAGAGATAAAGTATACATAACATAAGACTGACCGTTTGAGCTATATTTTTCACTGTATAGTTCAGTGGCGTAAAGTACATTCATGCTGCTGTGCACCCCTTAACTTCTTAATTTATAAGGTGGGTTAATACAGTTAAACGGGTTATTTGATCCTGGAAACTATTCTGTCCTTTTATAAAAGTCACTTCACATAGCGAGTTGATTCCCAATGAGTTAATGTTAAAGTTGAACCCACAAGGCCTGTCTTGGTTCCTTATTTCCAAGTTCTGGCAGGCTTGTGGTCCAGCATGTGTGCTGAAGGGTCACATAAAGGAGAAATGGGAGTTGGCTGGGAAAGGCTTATGGGCCCGTGGCTGCTCAGGGTCACAGTTGGTTTTCTTGCACTGGGCAGTCTTCAGGTGTACTTTCTCACCATGTTGTTTATTTGTCCCCTTGTAGAGAACACCTTTGGTGACCTGGACACGAGCAGGAATGGAGCAGATTCCTCTGTCCCAAGTGGTAGGTTTTTTAAAGGACCCAGGATGCAAAGAGGGCCATTTGGGTGGGGAACTGTGAAAGGACATCTGTAATTCGGGAGTTGTACAAGGGTTTCCACCTTCTGGTTCTGTTTTCTTAAAATTGGCAAATGGGGGCTGTGCCTGGGCTGCCAGCTTCTGGCTCTTTGTCGGCATCCTTACACAGGAGTCCACTTACTCTGTACAGTGGACAAGAGGGCTGAGGAATTCTACACTGCGTCTGGGCTGGCCTCAGCTTCCTCCTGGGCAATGGGGGATTATTGTGGTAGCTGCATGTGGCTCAGGCCCTTCTCTCTGGGCTGGCCTCAAGCCCCCTGGCATGGCCTGCCATGCTGTCTTCACTGCCCACCCCATCTCTCCTGGCCTGTTCTCTCCTTTGCTGTCTGTTGTCCTTGGTGCCTCCTGCCCTGTGCTGAACCCTCTCTCTTCTGCCACCCCCACCTCCATCTCCGCTGCAGTTCTTGATCTTGAGGTTTGTGTTAGCTTGCTTTGTAGTGCTGACAGCAGCTGCCCCATTCTTCATTTTTGCTCTAAGGACTCTGGATCAGGAGCCTGGGGTGAGTGGTCCAGATGCACCAGCAAGTCCAGCCCAACTTTCCCTAAGACCAGTCCCCAGGCATTGGGCTTTGCTGGGCCAGACCTGCCTTGGAGGGAGGGAATGTGCCCCCGCTCCATTTGAGGACAGTTGGCCTGTGGCCATGCACTAGTTGCAGTCTTAGCTCTGGTCCTCTGCATCTGACATTGGTGCTCACATGAGAGTGAGCTTTTGAGTTCAGAGGTCGGCTGACTTGCAGAATGCCTAGAGTTAGATTAGAGTCACTTCCAGTTTTTCTAGGCCAGGAGTCCAGTGCTCTTCATGGCCATAGCTTTGCCTGGGTTCACTCTTTATTCCTGAGCTGGCCTCTCCAAGGTCATGCAGAACCGTGGGGTGCTGGCATGATAATTGGTTTCCATCCTGTTTCAGAAGAAAATTTCCCTAGGAGGTTTCTTCACTGTGTCAGAGAGTGAAGAAGACCATCTCTATCATCACCCCAGAAAATGTGGCTAGGGTTATAGTTTCCACAGTAACCTGGGAGGTGATGGAGCAAAGCTACTTGTGGAGTGGGCTCCACACCCTTCTAGGTGCCAGTATATCCACACACCCTCAGTGGGCCCTGTTAGACTCAGCCCCTGCTAGGCCCCGTGTCCTGTGTCCATCCCAGCTTCCCTGACTCAGGTGTTTGTGTTTTAGTTCCCAGAAGGCAGAATTCTGATGACTTCTCCATCAATATTTTCAACTATGAAGGTATGAATTTAAAAAAAATATGTATGGGCAAAATGTGTTTTCTTACTGTTTAGTTGAGAATTGACACACACTTGAGGATTTCCACTAAGGAAACTGTAGAGCAGGCTTCCTGACCTTTCCCAGGTGATAGAACTTGTGAGGCTACCCTAGGGTGGCAGGAATCCTGATGCCCCAGGGCAGGCGGATGGTGAGCTTTGCTGTGGGGAGGCGGTGTGGTGTGTGGGCTCTTCCCCTCACCAGCTGTGTGGCCCTAGGCAGAGAGGGTACTGTGTATAGCTCTGCCTCAGAGCCCCCAAGTGTGAAACGAGGGGCCCTGGACAGATCTCTTAGACACCCAGTTAAACCTAGTAAAGTGCCTAGAACAGCACATGGCATAGAGTAACCTACATATTGACACAGTCTGGCTGTAAAGAGAAGGATATCTGAAAACGTGGAGTAGTGTATAGAGTGGGCCAGACTGGCCACATTTGTAAATTACAGTTTCTTCAGCAGAGAGCGATTTCTCCTTGGGCTGGCAGCTGTGTGACTGCTCAGAAACATTCTAGCTATTTCACTCCTGCTGGGCTCTGCTAATTTCTACCCCTTGGGCTGTCTCGCTCCCAGAATACTGTACTGCCAAGGCAGTCACTGGGCCTTGCCGCGCATCCTTCCAACGCTGGTACTTTGATGCTGAGAAGAATTCTTGTGATAACTTCATCTACGGGGGGTGCCGGGGCAATAAAAACAGCTACCTCTCCAAGGAGGAGTGCATGCACCACTGCTTTGGTAAGTCTGCCTGACTCCTAAGTCCAGGAAACCATGGTGGGCAGATGAGCCTTCCCAAGAAGACACCAGACCAAGGGCCTTGGAAATGCTGTCCTTGGGACTCTAGTGGAGGAAGGCTGGGCTTTGGCCCCTGCTGTTGAGCAGACATGTCCAAGGTCCCTTCCAGGAAGGCCCAGGGCTGAAGAGAGTCCTCAGTTGGTGGCAGCTCTGGCAAGAGGAGACTGGGCTGCCCTCAAGGTTGTGTTTTCTTCCAGGCAAGCAGTTGTATCCTGTCCTGCCCCACGGTACTAAAGGTAATGGCCTCTGGCTCTCCCCCACCTGTCTTCCTTGACTAAGCTCAGCTGGGGTTGTGCAGGCTCATGTCGTCTTGGACACATCATCCTTCACTGTAAACATAATTTTGGTAGAAAGTCATGCTTCTGCACGAGAATGGCCAGGCAGCTTGGAATGTGTGGTGGACGTTTGTCCTAGTGCACAGTGCACATAAATGGGGGTTGGGAGTGAGTCAGACTCCACCCTGGCAGCCCCTGGGGTGACTGGAGACAAGTCTCACTGTGAGGTGTGTGGGGATCTTCTGTGCACAGGCCTGAAACCGACTGCAGGTTTGGAGGGAACTTGGCTGCTGTGGAGTGTACAGAGTTGGTTATGGGTGACGGAGAGTAAGTTGGAGAGCCCTTGCTGTGTGCAGGCAGAGCAAGGCAGAGGCCACTGCTGCTGTCCCCAAGTGGTCCAGTCTGACACACCGGCTGGACTTCCTCTCGCTTTTGTTTTTTATTCTAAGCCTGAGTCACGGATGGTGGTGTTTGCACAAAGGGCCTGCCACACTGGTTTGGCCTCTTTCCACCTGTTGCCTCCTAAGGAGCCCAGACCTGGCCTGTGTGCCTGCTCTGTTTTAGAAGAGGAGCAAAGCTAGAACCTAATTTGCCAAGCATGGGGCAGAAAGGAGTCCAGGTCTAGAGGGTTGGAGATGGAGAATTGCACCTGTCTGATTCTGTAGCCAAGGAAGGAGAGGGAGCCAGGTAGCTGCCATAGGAGGCCACATTTCTTGGGTGGAGCCCCACCTATATTAAAAAGAAAAAAAAAAAACAACTGGCCAGTGGGACTGCAGTGGAATTAACTAGTGTTAAAGTTTCCTGGGCAATTAGGAGCGCGAGGGTCCCCTCCCAGACCTGCTCCAGGTACACCCTTACCCCACCCTTAAACATGATTTCACAGGCAGCCACCCCCACCATCTGCAGGGCTACGTCTTTTTCTGTGACTAGTTGAGGGGCGAGGTGTGTGCTTTTTGTGTCTTGATGTGCATCTTTTAACTTGGGACTCCTATAGGTTGCCCTTGGGAAAAAGTAGGGAAGTAACAGGGTTGACATGGGAATTTTTTCCTCTTCAAAAAAAAGGGAAGATAAGTAGCCACTCCTTTTGTGTGCACATATCATGGCACCTCCTTTGTCAGGAATCTGCTTAGGATGGTGGGGACATATCCTAAAGACTTCCTGGTGGGTGGCGTCAGTTCTTCAGGCCCTTCCCACTTGGGATGGGGGGGGGCATCTGGCAAGGGTCCTCGTCCTCACCCTCGGCCTACATGGATGGCCTGTGTCCCTCATGAAGCCTGGGTGGCTGTTGCCCTCCCATCCAGCCTGTTTTGAGGCCTCTCTCTCATCTACAGTGGTGGTCCTGGTGGGGCTGTTCGCGATGATCCTGATCCTCTTGCTGGGAGCATCCGTGGTCTGCCTGATGAGGACAGCACGGAGGAACCAGGAGCGTGCCCTCTGCACCATCTGGAGCTCTGGGGACGACAAGGAGCACCTGGTGAAGAACACATACGTCCTGTGAATGCCCGGTGGTCATCGGGCCGTGCCCTTCAGGACTCCCGCTATTGAAGAGGACCTGGAAGGGAGGGGAGACAAGTGTAGAATGTGTGTGTGCTTTTTAAAATAGTGATTGTTTTGTGTTTGTACGACAAGTGTAGAATGTGTGTATGCTTTTTAAAATAGTGATTGTTTTGTGTTTGTACGATCATTAGGGCTTTTGGTGTGCATGTTGCTCAAGAAGGTAAGAGGGCTACTTCCTGGTCTCCCCAGGGTGGGTCTGCTTTGGAAATCCTCTTGGAGAAGGGCTCTGTGTCCATTTCAAGTGGTCTGGGATCAGATGAGAGCCAGGTCCTCTTCAGTTTCTTTACTCCAGGTATAATTTTCTTTGCTTATATTGAATCCTATTCCCTCCTTTCCCATCACAAAAGTGATCTTCTAATAGTTCCCTATGTTTGTTTGATTTGTGGTTTTTTTTTTTTTAATTAGGTAGAAACAAGTTTTTTATTAGGATTCTGAAAGGAGAGTAAAATGTACAAGGTTAATAAAAAGGGCCTTCCCTTTTAAAATAAATTTCAAATGCTTGCTTTCTCTATGGAACCACTAAATTTAACTCTTTGAAAATTATCACAAGACACTACATGAGGTGTCCCATTCTAGAAATGGACTCCTTAAAAATAATTTCATATCTTTTTGAATGAAATTCATATCTTTTTGAATGAAATACATCTTAAGTTACAACTGAGTGCCTGTAAAGGTTCACTAAACAATACTGGGCCTTAACTAGTGGTAAGCTTTTACTCTATTACACTTTTAAAAGATTCTGGCCACACCCTACCAAATTAATTATTTTTTTTAATGACCCCCTGTGGATTTTAACCCACACCTTTGAAACACTGTCTTTTTGAGGGCATAGAATGGAAGCATCCTGTCCAGGAAAGGACCAAAACCTTACTGTGACTGGAGTGGTTTTAACCAAAATCACTTTGGCATCTGTGATTTTAATCTTTTCCTGCAGGTCTGCAATCTTCCTCAGGTCTCTCACATGTCCCTGCATTGAAATACGGGGACAGGGCACCATGTGGCTGAATTCGGCTTCTGGGCTTAGTCCCAGTTCTGCTGCCAGTGTACCTATGGGTGTCCTTTCCTGTCTCTAGACTCTGGGAGCATGCACACCCCCTGCGTAGTCTTCCAGACATGTATTCCTGAATACAGAGCAGTATCTGAATAACCCATGGGGTCTGGCAGGTGGCCTGGGAGTGGGTGGAGTTGCCAGGCCAGTTTGTGGGGCCTGTGTAACCTCACAGTTCCTAACAGTTTCAGACTTTGGCTCCCATTAGAACAGAAAGACAACAAGCCCTCCCTTCCCCTTGACACTTCATAGAAATCCCTTGAGGCCAAAAAGCTACATTCTGTACCCTAGGGGAAGACTTGCATCCATTAGGCTTAGACATGTATTCACCAGAAGCAAGTTGGGCAGATAGCTCGTGTGCTCCTTCATGGCCTCCCTGGCCCATGGCAGATGTTGCTTGTGATGAGTTCTGGCATCCTCCCCGCCAAGCCTTTCTGGTAGCCTGGCCCTTGTTGCAACTGACTACGTTGAGAAGCAAGTGAAAGCTACTTGCCATATCTGACAAGTTTGGTACACCGAGCTCCAGAAGAGCCTGTGGCCCAGGGAAAGAGGGCCTAAGCATTGAGAGAGACTGCCCACCACTATCCAGGTGTGCAACAGCGGCAGGTCATTTAACCATGAACCTCCAGTGGCCCCACTTGTCAGACAGGTGGATGTGAGGGTTACATAAAGTTGTAGATGTTAGGCCGTCCATGGCGAGTGCTCAGCAAGGGCACCACCTTCAGGGGACTGGGTCTGCCTGCGTACCTGCCTGCCTCCTTGTTCCTCCTCAGGAGTTAGTGGCTGTGCCCCATACCCACCCTGCCACCTCACGAGCAACTCTCCAATCCATTCTTGGCTCCCCTTGTGTTCAGGAACCTCAAACCCACTGATGCCTCTCCAGTCTAGCAGAAGGGCTTTGACCACTTAATTGAACAAGGGTTGTCTCTCCTTTAATATCTTAGGCATGTGAAAGAAAAAGGGCATGTGTTTGGATTTTTTTTTAAAGTTAGGAATCGTTTTTAAATAATTCTGCGATAGGAAGATCATCAGCTGAATTCTCTTAGCACCATTAGGGACAGTCAAGCTTTCCAAGTTTTTCATACAGTGTACTTATGGTGTTTCTGGTGCTGAACCTTAGCAACTGTGATTCACTTCTGCCAAAATCTACCCCATGGCCTGGGAGGCCCCAGGGTCTCACTTGTTTCTGGCAGATGGGCTGTCTCAGGCCTTTGGCCCCTCTTGCTCTGGCAGTGATGTCTCACTGCTGTGCCTTTCAGGTCACAGTGCTGCTGTTCGAGTCTGGTCAGCCTACTCCTGCCATGCCACTGTGGCCCTGGAAACAAAATGACAGAGGTTTTTACGGTTTACAGGCGCACAACAGTGCTCTCTTTGTTGCAGAGGGTGCCCAGCAGTGGGCCAGTAACAAAGGTATTCGGTGGGTTTTACATGGCCTTTGGCATCCTCGGGTGGCCGGCATCATGAAGTGGTGGACTGGGCTTCTAAAAAATCAATTCGACGCCCTCACTCTACCTCCTGGTCCACACACTAGTGAAGCGGCGTGGCCGCTGAATGTGGCTGTCCCTGGAAAGGGTTTATCTCTAGACCATCTCCCGGGTAAAGATCAGGTCAAAGGGGTTGGGAGTTATAGAGCCTTTTGAAAATTTGGGATTTCTACCTTCTTGGTTTCTGCATATGCTGCATCTTCTTTTCCCCTAACATCAAGCCCTGGCCCACCAGAAGGGGGCTTCAGGGATTGAAGTTAATTCTGGTTCAGCTCAGAATGTTTCTTGGACTGACTGGTCCTAGGTCATGAAAATGACCATTTGGTCATCAAGTGCCTGCTTGCTAGGCTCTGTACAGTAGCCCACATGATCTCTGTAAATTTATAAAAACTCCTGTTCTATTCACATCTGACTCTTAAACAGAAGGTCTGCATGTGAGTAGATGATAGAAGTGAAACTGCTTACTGGATAGGATACACACTGGTTTCATGTCCTTGAAGGGAGAGCAGCAACCCGCACCTGGGGAGGGAATGCCTTAGATCCCAGGATGCAGGGGTGCAGAAATGCTTGCTTTGTCCTCTGAGTCTTACTGCACCCTGACAAATGCCTGGTCCACACAAATCCTACAGCATCTGCAGCCAGCAGTGTGACCCGTAGACAGGCCCGTCCTGAACCATTTTGCCATGTCTGATGTCGTCAGTGGCAGCTCCTGAATGTGGGTACCACCCCTAGATGCTTACAAATGCTAGAACCAGCACAGCCTTGTTCTACTTTGGCTGACAAAATCTCACACTTCTGATGCCCAAGCTGCCTTGGGCTGTGCCATGTATGGGACTGAGGGTGCAGCTACTCATTGGCATGCCCATGTGCCTTAACCAAGTCAAGGTAGTGGTGTTCCAAGTCAAGTTTAACAAACCCTGGAGCGCCCTATGCCCCAGTACTCCATGTGTTTGCATGTGGGAAAGAATGAACCACAGTGTCTGCATTCAGCATGGAGGCTACTTTTGGGTCTTGTAATTATTGATTATGACTCCAAGATAAGTAGGTCAGTCTGAACTCCCTTGTGCAGGTCCTAATAGATGATAGACTTAGCTTTAGATTACATCCTGGCTCTGAAATAAGCCCTGCTCGTTCATAGCTGGTCCCTGGAGTCAGACTCTGGACGGCAGGTTGGCCTCTTATCAACAGGACTTAACTACTTACTCAGACTCCTGTTAGTAGCCTTAATGAGTATGAGGCAAACAATTAATTCGGTCCCAGCCTGTTAGATGAATCAGTGGTTGACAGAACAGCATACTCAAGAAAGATCACCAGAAGCCAGGAGGGGTGGCTTGTTACAGAGACAGTCTTCCATGAGGGTCTCATCTTACTATAAGTCTTGCTGGGTGTGCCAAGAATGCTTGACTGACAGCTGTTTACCTAGACCATTTCTCAGGATTGGGTTTGCAGTAAGCACCTGGAGGGATGAGGTGATGGCTTCCTCCAGGACGGAGCAGGCTTGCCTACTGCTCGCTGAAAAGTGGCAGGTTCCCTGAGCTCACGTCTGGCTCGTCATGCAAAGCACTGCGTGTGCGGGATGCATCTGCATCATGGGACGAGGGAAACCCAGCACACATGCTAATGCTGCCTGCTGTAATAAAACCTCATGACTGACCCAGGAGTCACAAGGCTTCTGCTAGCTTTTGAAACAGTAAAAGGCTTAACTTACTAGCTCATAGAGTTGAAATCAAATCCCAGATACAACAGTCAGCTGGGTGGAGGCCAATCTTGGTTTTCCCTAGCTGGGCAAGTCAGCCCCTTGGCACCTCCCTAAGGATGGCCTGTCAAGATTTGCTGCTAGTATCCCAGAACATCCAGGGCACTTTTGTCCTGTGGGGAGGGAACTGAGTTCCTGCATACTGTGTGCTTAAGGTCATCTGCTGAGATGTGGTTAAATTCAAAGAAAACATTCCCGGACAGGGATTATAATGTTTATAGGACTGGGGCATTCTGTTCCTGTAACTTAAGGGACAAAACCGGCCTTGCACCAATTGCTTTTTTAATGAGTGTGTAGGAGCATGGCACCCCGTGGGAGGATTCTCTCTTGAGCAATCCATGCCTTCCTATCCCATCTTGGCTTCTCTTGACACTAAAGTTGATCTGCAGAAATCTTGTCCTAAATTTTAAGTAAAACCTTTAGGGTTGGCATGCCCCTGTGAGGAATGTGGGCGGGTAGGATGTTAGGGAAAGGGTAAGCTGATGTAGTAGGGAAAACCGTCAGTATTGCAGGCCAGTTGGGAACCCAAGTCCCTATTTCTACAGAGGGGAAGGCCTTGCCTATTCCCTTAGGACCAAGTCACTTTAGGCAGAAATGAGACAGGCAGGGGGAGGGAGGGCAGAGCCATTAGATGCCAGAGGTAGGCAGGGCCTGGAGAGCACAGACCTAAGCTACTGTCTGCCCGTCCTGTTAGCCATGGTAGATGAGAACTGAATGGCAGGGAGCTAGTATTTCCCAAGAGCAGAGGGAATGGACATGCACTTCTCTTAGGACCTCACACCTATGTTTTTCATTCAACCGTTTGTGTCTACCTTCCCAGTTTTAATCTGGCCTCTATTTGTAAACCTGAGTTAGGCAGAGAAGGGAAATAAGGGACACTCACTGCCACCAATAAGGAGTTGTGATATAGACAGGCTTCGATGTCCATTTGCCCCTTCCTTTCAATCATGTAAGTCCCAGGTTAAGGCCAGGTACATGGCCACCCAGCTAGGAACTATATTTTCCAAACTCCCCTGCAGGTAGACCATGGGTCTAAATCCTGCCGAAAGGATGTGTGCTGCTTCCAGGTGGGATCCTTAAAAGGAAATGGTGTGCCCTCCACTGCCCTTTTCCCAAAAACCAGTGGTGGCGGCCAGCCTCCCCAACATTCAAAGGCATCACCCTGGAGGGCTGCAGAGCAACCAGACAAGGAGCCTGGGTCTCTGGATGATCCGGTGGAGCACACCCACCTGCCTGCTCTGGATCCACCAGCTCAGGTGTCCATGGAAGAGGAAAGAGGTTACTTTGTAAGCCTCTTCAGGGTCTCTGAAAGCTGCAGCATCCTAACTTGAATGGGAGTGAACAGAGGGCAGTCTGGGGGCCCAGGCCATGGTCCTGGACCCGCTCACCCTCCTCAGCACAGTAGGAAAAAGAACATCTTGGGTCTGGAAGGCCACACCTTGGGTCTGCAGCTCCACTACCTGCTAGCCCAGTGCCCTTGGGCATGAAACTACCTTTTGGAGGCTCAGCTGCCTCATACATGGCCTGGGGATCCTCCTGCTGGTTTCATGAGCAGTCAGTAATAATGCAAACTAACACTTAAGGAGCATCTATTTACCTTGCACAGGCTGACTCCATGCAAAACTGTTTACCTTGTCGAGTAAGTTTCCATTTTACAGAGGAGGAAACGGGCCCAGACTGTTGACTTATTTATCTATAGAGCAGTAAGGGGTAGAATGAGGATTCACCTATAGGCAGACACCTCCAGAGCCCAAACTTGTAGACAGTCTGCTTGCCCTAACCTGCCGTTAGCACAGTGCCTGGTATCAGGTAACCTCACTATTTCACCCAACAATGGCAGACACCAAGTTCTGAGTCACTGTCCTGGGTGCTGAGCAGAGCAGTGTCCCCACTGGCATTTACAGCAGGAGAGAGACACACTTTCTCTCACAGCTTGCATCTAGTTGGTGGGCAAAGCCATGATCATCGCTCATCACCTCTTAGTTGGAGTAAAGGCCAAAGAACTTTGATTCATAAGCCCTCCTCCTCCATCCCTCTGCATTTCCTACCTCTCCCCTCCATTCTCTGTCACTCTGATCTTGTAGTTCTTCACTCAGGTACATTCCTGCCTCAGGGCCTTTGCACTTGCTATTCTCTTTGAGCACTCTTCCATATGTTTGTGTGGCTTCTCATTTTCAGATCTTTACTCAAAAAAGACTTCCATGAAGCTTTACCTGGTAGCTGTAGCTAAAATCTTGCCGCTTCCTAATATACCACATAGTTATTACCTAGTCCCCTTTGCTATATCTCTTGCTATGTACTAAAAAAACATTTTTATTGAGCTGTTACATAAACTCACATTTTAAACGTACAATTCAGTGAGTCTAATAATTTTCCCAAATGGTACAATTTACTGTAAGTCAGTCTTAGAACATTATCCCCCCAGTGAGATCTGTCCATTTACAGTTAATCTCTATTCACTCAGTTCCCAGCAACCACTAATCTATCTCCAGTCCTTTTCTGAGCACTTCATATGAGTATCATATGATGTGTATGTTGTGTCTGGCTTCTTTCACCTAGCATTTTTGACGTTCACCCGTGATGTCAGGCATATATCATGTATTTTTACTGCTGAATAGTATTTCATTGTATCAATAATCACATTTTGTCTACCCATTCCCCAGCCAACTGATGGACATTTTAGTTTCATTTTTTCTCACATACCGTACATTTTATTTGTTCTCCCCACTAAAATATCAGTTCTATGAGACTGGACTTTCTTATTTTGTCCACCTCTGTATCCCCAGCACTTGCATTGTACAGGACACATAGTAGATACTCACCATCTGTGCTGAAGGAACGAGAATAAAGATAACTACAGGTCATGGTAAGCAAGGACTATGCTGGCCATCAGTCGGGAAAGGGAGGCAGCAGGCAAGCAGGTAGGCCTCTGGGAGGAATGTACTTTGTAGCAGAAACTCCAGTGCACAAGGCTGATTACTGAGAATTCATCATCTCCTGGCCTCAGCTGCCTGCCCCTGCCTAGATGCCAACCTTGCCTGTCCAATCCTGCAGGTACAGGCAGTCCGGCTGCTAGCTGGGCTGGAGAGGGACCTGCAAGGGCTAACTCCACAGCAATGGAAGCAGATGGCTCAGGGTCCTCACCTTGCCCAGCTCTGTGGGGAGGGAAGACTGGGCTCCCTGGCTGCCCCTTACCCTGAGTTCTCCCCAGAGTGAGATGGAGGGGCACTTCAGCCACACTACCTGGGCGTGAATCCCAGTTCTGGCCTGTTCATGTTATATTTGCCCCTCAACTTAATGGTTTGATCCCTCCGTTTTCTCATTTGTAAAATATAGTACCAATACCTACTTTTTAAAAAAGAGCCAAAACATTATAAGCACTCTGTGCCAGGCATGGGTCTAGGAAACTAGTCCACTTGATTCTTAACCCATATGGTAGCTGTCAATTACAGATGAGGACACAGAGGCACAGACCATTAAGTGATCCAGCTGGGCTTCAAATTCCACAGACTCGATCCAAGCACATACTCTTCACCCTTTCAGACACTACTTACCAAGCCACAGAGGGGTTGGTTGTTAGAGTGAGTTAACAAACATGAAACCCTTGGAACAGTGCCTGGCACACAGCAAGCACTCAACGACTGTTGTTATCATCATGGTACAAGAGGTCATGGGGAGGCACCCTCCCTCTCATTTCTTCAAAAGCAGGCCTCTGACCCTTTGGGGGAATCTGATGGCAGTTCTAGTTCCCTCCCCAGAAATCTGCAGCTGCCCACAGCCCCACACCCAGACCCTGCTCACTTGCAAAGGCTCACTGGGTGGGGGTGGGATATAGCATAGCAGACTGTCCACCCTCCCCATTTCCCACGGAGGATGAGTTTGGCGGTGCTGGGGAGGGGCTCTGACTCAGGGCTAAGGACTCTGAACAAAGGTTGGGTGGGGCTCCCAGAATTCCTTGGGCCGGCAGGTCCACTGATCCTGTGTCCTCCCTGCACGGCCCTGGCCCTCCAGACCCACTTCTCACCACCATGGAGTTCGACTTGGCAGCAGGTGAGCTTCTGGGGAGTAACTTGAAGGATAGGGGGCCAGCCTCAAATCCAGGGATCATTCCCGAGGGAGCATTCCCTGCACTTGCGCCAACCCGCGCGACTTCTCTCCGCAGCCGTCGACTCCACCTCCAAGAAGCCCCAGGAGGCAGGCCAGGTGCGAGACCCCAAGCACAGCCCCCCCAAAGTTCCGGGCCAGTCAGAGTCAAGAGCAGCTAATAACCTGAAGGTAAGTCCCCATTCGTTGGGGTACATCTCAAGGGGGACGAGAGGGGTGCCTTTAAACCCAGGACCCTGCCAAGCCTCGGGCCTCCAACCTGGGGAGCAGGAGCAGTAAGGGGCCCGGCCTCACTGTCACGCCTCCAACTAGCAGGACCACGGCCGCTCCTCAGACTCCAGCAGCAGCAGCAGCTCCAGCGACTCGGACAAGGAGGAAAAGGTAAGAGGCTTCCCCCACCACCAACAGTTGCCCGGTGCTCCAGGCGAGGGCAGAGGCCTAGCCTGAACCTGGGCAAACTTTTCACCGACGTAACCATCTCTCCCCCTTCTCCCGTTCCCGCCGCCCCGCGCTGCCACCTCGGAGCAGCACGGAAGCACACCGGGCAAGGTCAAGACGCCCAGGGTGAAAAAGGAGAAGAAGGAAGAGAAGAACAAGGAAAAGAAGGCAGGGAAGAAGGGGAAGCCCCACTGACGGGCCTGGGCGGGGCTCATTAAACCTTCTCTCGGCTCTGTGGCGTCTTCTGGTCGCGAGCGGCGAGGCGCCCCCTTCCCGGGCCGGGCCTGCCCCCTGCCGACGCCGCGCCGCCAAGGAGAGGCTGCCCACGCCGTGCCCATCACGGTTTATTGTTTCCGGAACAGTGGCCGCACTGCGGGGGGCGGCCTGTGCAGCTGGACATCTCAGCACCTCGGCGAGGGGTAGGGGGGTCTCGAGATGGGGGCGGCGCCGGGGACGCCACGGGCGGACCCTGTGGCCACCGGCGGCGGGAGATGAGCAGAGGCAGCGCGGGGGCCGCCAGAAATAGCAGCTGGAGGCTTCGGCGGGCCGCCCTCACCGCACCAGGTGGAAGGTGAGCCAGTACATGAGCAGAGGCTGCGCCGCCGCCACGGCCATGGTCAGGTACATGCGCAGCTGGTTCCGCGCCCCGCGCACTGGGATCCCTTCGGCCACCGCCTCTGCCAGGATCTTCAGACGCAGCGTCCGGATCTGGGGCGGGAGGGTTTACCCTGAGCCCTCTCGGCCTCCAGTTCCTCTCTCCCTCCACGGCGGGCAGCTGGGCTGTCTGTGCTCCTTTGCAGCCTTAGTTACCCCCAAACCTCCCAAAAGATGGTGAGGACTTGCTCCTCCCCAGGCCTTGTGAGAAAACGTGAGAGTTCCGAACTCAAATGCCAGGCAAGCCCTTGCTGCTTCCACCCGCTTATGTTGGCCAGATGACAATTTTCAACACAGGCCAGAAATGATTTTTATCTTTTTTTTAGACTTTTAAATAACATCTAAGTCAAAGTTTACCTGAGGGTTGGATATGGCCAAACAGCCACCAGTTTTTGCCCCTGCTCCTTGCACATGCTCACACTGAATCCTTCCAGTACCCTTGAGGTACAACTATCATTATCCCCATTTTACAAAATGGGAACTGAGGTTTAAAGAGAAACTGGTTTGCCCAGGATCCAGCAAAGCTTGGAGTCAAACCCAGGCCCGCTGGACTCCAGTGCTCTTAGCCAGCCCCCTCCACTGCACCTGGAAGGGTTCTCAGAGAAGCTACTTCCAGGGTACTGAAATTTTGTTCATCCTAACAAATTCTAGTGGAAAAGCCGACCATGTAAGGAGAGTAAAGATAAGAGCCCACCCTAGCAGCCTGGCTGGCTCCTTTCAGGCCCCAGCTTGGATACCCCGTTTCAGGAGGCCCTGGACCCCTGGCTAAGGCAACCACTACAGGGCTCCTCCGTTTAGCAATGAGGCACCAGTCTAAACTCCCCACCTGTTAGCCTCTGCTTGGATGCCTCCAGGATACCCCACCTCTGCCCAGGAGGCGTGTGCCCTCAGCTCCATCCTCCCCAAGTCCCAGCTCACCATGAACACGAAGATGGACACACAGCACCAGCCCAGCACCAGGTAGTAGCCAATCTTGCCAAACAGCAGGCCCATGAGGACCCCGCCAATCATCCTGGGGTGGGGGGGCAGGATGGTCTCAGAAAGAGGCCCAGTGCTGGGGCTGGTGGGGGGG